GACTGTTAGTTCAATTTTTTCGCAATCATATGATTAATCCTCATGTTTTCGTTGCTTCTTAAAAGGCATTACCATCCTGGTCGGGTTGGACTACCGTTTCATTCTCGTCTAGGTCTCCCCAGCACCCACAGCGGGACTCGAAGCCAGGTCTTGGTGGTGCAGCGTATAGTTTCGACACGTCAACCACTACACGACATTGTCACGAGTCCCCTTGGATCACATCGAAGAAGGGAACTTCAACAAATCCTAGGCCTTTTCCAATATCACATTTTAAAAATAAGATTTTTGATGAAGAAAAGTCTTGCTTGTTGCAGCAATCGGTTAGCTTACTTGATTTTTGTTTCATGAGTAGGTTTTCGATACTATCAGAAGATATGATTAAAAAGCTGTATTTACTCTCCCAGACGTGCGGATGAAAGCAGATCAGGATAGATAAAAATGTAGTCCTTTCATGCCTCGATAAGAATACATTTTAGGAAGGAAAGATATGTGAGATTCAATGGAAACATTAGGACTAATCAGATCATTGAGGGAATATTCAACTTCCTGCCCTTCATTACCTTAAACGAAATAAAATGAATGTGGCTCTTATATAAAATCTACCAGTAAGCTCGAAAATCTACTTATGAAACGAATAACATTCTAAAATGTTAGAGTATCTTTCATTTCGTTTGAAGAAGCGATTGGAAGGGATTCGTAAGTTGGCCCCACCGGAGGCTGTGGGGGTTGCATTGGAGCTGTGGTTGTAGATCCGTGCGGATAGCCATGCAACCACGAAGAATCGTTGCCGAGTTTCCGTCCGTCATGTGACGGACATCGTCAGAGCAGGACATGATGTCTGACGACAATTGCGCGACAACACGAAGGCAAGGAAGGTGGCCGGTTTCGAACCTACTTCCTTCTTCTATTCCAATTCGGTCCAGTTGGGCATCGCATGTTTTGGTTGAATGTGCCATGCTTTGCTTCTCTGTTCGCTCATGAGTTAAGTGAAGTGGCTGCGGATGAAGCGTGAAATGGGTGCGATTGCAACCGAACACCGCAAAACACGAATGCATTTGATCCTGCAATGTCACCGTATGTGATTGCGTCCCACACGCGATCTAGAAAGTGGGCCAGAGTATTCTCAAAAAGAAGGCAATACCGAGGACAGTGTTATTTTCTAGAAGTGGGTTGTCAGGGCGACTAAGTAGAACGCACTTAGTCCGAAGTAGTTGTCATAACTCCCAGCATCAGACAGTCGACTTGGTACATTCTCAGACGTTTCGCTGGCATCTTAGTTTGCATCGTCAGTGAGTTTTGACATTCGTCGCACCAAGCTACGAACTCGTGAAAGAGACAAATGAAGTCGATCCCACGACAAACGTTACTGAGGCCATACCGGAGGCCACAACATCTTGGTCTTCATATCTTCAGTGTTGTTTTCTCTTTACAAATAGTCCTGATGTCCCACCTCCTCAGTCACTTGCCCATCTTTTTCCACAGATTACACGATGGCATACCCCCAAATGTGTATTCCCTTTAATTCTATTTGATAATATTCTAAAATAGTTGTCAACCAGTCCTCGTGGATAATTATTCTCAACCAGAATTCTCCATAGTCTCTTCACTTGCCGGTTCCGTTGCCATGCATCTGCCAGTCACATACTTCATAACTCCTACTCAGCCCCAGAAGTGGGGTTGGAGAAGGCATTCAAAAGGAAACCTGCATTTGTGGGTTTCCGATACACATCTCTACGTAATCCAGTCCCATCTTTGCCAACTAGCGCCAAAAGAAAAGGTAAACCATCTTCCTTTTCTAACTCGATGGTGAATTTCGTCTTCCCTTCGATCTTGTTCATCAAACCAAGAAAATTCTCCGTATTTTCTCTGCCATGTTGCCAAATAGCAAAATATTCGTCCATACAGCAACGAATAATTTAGCAACTAAAGTGCCTCCTCAATTAAACGTTGCTCAAATTAAGTCATGTCATTATTTGCTAAAATTGATGAAAAACACCATCCCATAGCTGAATCCCGTCTTTGTTGATACAGTTTAACATTAAAGGAAAAATATGTCCAGTACATCGCCAAGTTGGTCAGTATCATAATTGACCCTTTACTTAACTTTGTGCTCATTAAAATCTTCTAACGAGAGAGAGAAAAAGAGAGAGAGGGGGGCGAACGAGAAGTACCAGCGAGCAAGAGGAGGAGGTTTGAATAGGCTTACACATGACACTTATTTCAAGAGCAATGCATTCACACAACATGTGTGCAACGAGACGCAATCACATGCGATAACATTGCAGGATCAAAGGCATTCGTGTTTTGTTG